TGAGATTAGTAAATGGGTATGATTGTTAGGTTTCCCATCTGTCCCATCACTTTTTTTTCATTGTTTGATATCCTGTGTCTTAAAAACCATTGTTTTCATTTATTTTGTCTATTTTGGGGGAATGGGTGTGGGGTTTTCAGGTAGGAGGTTAAATCTGGTACCTGTTACTCTATCTTTCTATCTTGGTTGGTAGTGAGAATCTAAAGCTTTGACTATTTCTTATCTTACAAAACTTCACTTAAATGTTTCCGTGTTAGATAGGCCATTCTCTGATAACACCCTCAAAAATAGGTCCACCTTATCTCATTTTTCCCTATCATTGCATTGCCACCTTTTTTCAATTATCTATGAATTTATTTATCTGTATGTTACCTATTATAAATGAAAGGAAAAGACCATAACTGTTTCACTCATCACTATATACTTAATGCCTAGAAAAATGTTTGACACAAGAGATGCTCAATAAATTTTATTTATTTTAATTTTTGTTTTTTTTTTTTTTTTTTTTTTGAGATTTTTGCCAGCTAATGGATCTCATGAAGCTCGCCCCTTCACCCATCTGCTCATGATTGGACACGCAAAGGTAATTTTTGTATTTTTGAATTTCCCCATTTATTGTTCACCATAATTTTTGCTGATTTTTGTTTCTTAAAGCATTCCTTCTTTAATTTTTTTTGTTTACTTCTCCATTCCTGTCTTTCTGTTCATTTTAAAATACTTATTTGCCTTTCTTGGCTAGTTCTCTTATCATCCCCTTTTCTTTTATTTCTTCTTTATTTTTCAGATGTTTTTAGGATCTGTTATCATCCCCCTGCCCTCTGAAAAGAAAGGGATAATAGGCCCGGGACTCTCCAAAGGATCCCTTGTTGCATAACTAGAAATTAATGCACAACTAGAAATTGATGCACAAGCAATGTAGACAATCCTCTAAATTAAGCCTACTTTTCAAACTTCCCTTAATTCAAATGGCATAATATCAGTTTTTAAATAGCAAAATTTATGTGATTATCACAAGTAGAACTGTTACTAGGCAATGAGGCAGCAGCCTGAGTTTTAGCCCTAACTATTCCACAGATTGCTTATGATTCTGGAAGTTATTTAACCTCTCTGTGATGTGGGTTGGTTCATCTTTTATAATAATTATAATAACTAACATTTATAGAATCACTTTTATTAACATTAACCCAGAAAAGTTCTACAGCTCTCTAAGGGAGATAGAAATTGTGATTTTTACTTTATATATTAGAAGAAAGAAACTCAAGAGTGATTAAATGCCTTGTTTAAGATTATAAATGTATGAAGTAGCTAATAAATGGAAAAGGTAAAACAATGTAAATCTGATCAGATGTCTGCTGTTCTTTTCAAAGCGTTTTTCTGCTTCTAAAAATCATAGTCTGTAAAATATGAAAGTTTTCTCTCAACTACAAAATTTTATTATTCTATGATGTGAAAGTTTTGCAGATTGGTAATTTAAAGATTTGGGGAGGTCAGCTGCTTGGAGCCTAACCTATGGAATAAGTTGACCAGTAAAGGAGTCATTGATATAATTTCATTGATAGTGTGCAAAAAGTGAGGTGTTTTCTGATTATAAAATAAAGGACTTGGTTTCCAATGTTCCTGAAACTTTTAAAAAGATCCAAGAGATCCAAGATTAAACAGTGAAAAGCCTATCGAGTAACTTTAGTGTCAGATAGGCATAAGTTTGGGTCCCACTTATTCTGTGTGACTTTGAGAGACTAATTTCATTTTTTTCAACTTCAATTTTCTCATGTGTAGAGAAATATACTAATATGTACCAATCTGCCTCAAAGGGTTATAATCACTATTAGATAATATAACACTGAGTCAAATTGACTAGCAGAGTAGAACACATAATCAATGGAACTGGGTTCTATCACCCCAAATATGAACAATGCGTATATGCTTTTCTGAAAGTTAAGAAACAATTCATGAAAAGGCTGAACAGTGTCTACTGTAATAAAGTGAGACTATAGAAATATCATCAGATTGTATTATCCAATAGTTAAACTTCAAGTCAAATTTTCATAAAATGTATTTTGAAAAGCAATTGTAGGATATACCTTTGAGTGGTTAAAGAATCAATCCCTTTTCATAATATACAATATTGATCATTCAGAGAACACTTTTAGGAAATCTGATTTTAAATCCTAGGGCTTGTCTGAGCCCCTGTGGAGCTCACTGGTAGAGATACAGAGGATTTCTTTAAGTCCTTCTACTTACTTGATTTTACTTCTGACTTAAAACGTTAGGTCTCTAGTTAGAAATTATGATTACTTTTGCAAAATTCTGGTGAACTCAGTACCTAGTTCTTCTCTCATTTGTCAGATTTGAAAAGTTCCCTGGTAGTTCATGTGAGAGAAAAAATGCCTGCTGCCATGCTCTGTCTATCCTACTGACATCATCATTTACTTACAGATCTTATGACTTTTGCTAGATGTAGAGAATATAAAGAATTTTAGATATGATCTTGAGATTCTTGTCATGCATTTGGAAAGGTAGAGCATAAGTATAAAAGTAAGGAGCCATACAAATGAATCCAGGCTAAATGTCAACTAAATGGTTCAAGCAAGCCTGTACTGTGTATAAACCTGGACACCGGAAGTGTTTAAATAAAGGAATTGGCACAACGGGGCTCTGATGGTGGTAGGAAAGGCTTACTATAGAAAGTAAACTTTTAGTAGGGCGTTTCCAGAGAGGGAATAATATGAGTAAATCATAATGGTAGTAAGATGCAAAAATTTGGCTTAAGAGGAGAATAGTGGAAAATCCATTTGAAGATGTTGATAGAAATTATACTTTAGAGGATCCTGAATGAAGGTTTTTAAAAAAAATTCTGAAGCAAATATAAGAAATATAAGAAAATATATTATTGAGATTTCTCAGAACTTTTTAAAACTTTACATCATGGCTGATACTATTGGATCCTGATGATCTAAGAGCCCGTTTCTGCTCCTGATCTTCAGTCTCCAATTTAGCTTCTTACCATAAAATAATTACAAGTTTATTACAGAAAAATCAGAATATATTGTAAAGCTAAAAGAAGTCTATAAAATCCACAAAGTGTTGTTCCAGAAACTTTTCTGTCTCTACACACACACACACACACACACACACACACACAATGTAGGAGATCCTACCTTCAGAAGGCTAAACTGGGATTCTGAAGTCTGAATATGTGTATTAAACCATGCTGAGACTATTTACAGAAAAGTTTTGGCTGAAATCCTTTATGTGGTGCAGAGGATGGGTGTGAAAAAATGGCACAGAGCAGGAATCAGCAAATTTTTAATGTAAAGAATAGGACAGTAAACATTTCAGGCCTTGTGGCCATATAGTTTCTGCTGCAGCTACTCAACTCTGCCATTGTAGTGTGAAAGCACTGAAGGACAATATATAAATGAATAATTGTGACTATGTCCCAATAAAACTTTATTACAGAAACTGAAATTTCATACAATTTTCAGATGTCAAGAAATATCATAGTTATCATAGTATCAAATAAGCTTCTGTTTTAGGAGCAGCAGAAGCCAACATAGATACCAATATTCTCACACATGGCAACAGGAACAGAGAGAGTGGGAAGAATTCCTAAAAGGGGGTGCTCTGCTAGAGTAGAAAACTAGAGAATATTTATGAGCAAAAATTACTCAACTTCTGGACACTCCCAGGAACATTTTGAGGATTTCACAGAGACTGACTTATGTAAGCTAAGGGCATAAACCAGTTAAGTTTTAGGTTATGTTACTGATAAGATTCCATTAGTATCTATGAACTGGTGAGGTCTGAAGAAATTCAGGTTACAAACAACATATATGTGTGAGTGTGTGTATAAAATGTATATGTTACACAACTCTAAGGCCATTTTTTTACATATTGTAAAGCAGCCTGCTTTTTAACAGAATATATTAACATATGATAAACTTTTTTTATGTCAATAAATATTTACCCATAACATCACTAGTGTCATCTGTACCTCCAGTCACACACACTCTCACTCTTCATCCTTTCTATACCAGTTTTTATAATTGCTTACTCTAGACAACTTCGGATCTGTGTTTGCTACCATGGTAAATGTTGATCTTATTTACTCATTTACTTTTTACCTTAATTATCCTACTTTATAATGTTTGGGTGCCTTAAATCACCATAGAAATATGTGTTTGTATATTTTAATAAAAATAATCAGAAATCAGGAATACTTCGTTATCTTCAAGGGATATAATTATTTAAAAGAAGCAAATGGTTAGTCCCTGGTTAGAATAGTACTATAAAATGGCCAAAGCATAAGGCTGCCAAAATAAGAAAGCATTGACTTATTACTGATACTGGTATCAGTAATAAGTTTTATTATTTACAGGGCATCATAGCTCTTCTTTCTCAAAATAAAAGACAGTGACTGTTGGAATAGCAGGACATGGTCTGCATGGTTTGAAATAAACACAAAAACAATGGGTATGATTGAATGGGTACAGGACAATAATGGATTGAAATATTTCTATAATAATTTTTATGAAAATTATCAGGTTGCACACCATAACAAAACAAAAATTTGCATGCATGCTGAATGTGTTTTAAGAAACACATTACTGGGCCGGGCGCGGTGGCTCAAGCCTGTAATCCCAGCACTTTGGGAGGCCGAGACGGGCGGATCACGAGGTCAGGAGATCGAGACCATCCTGGTTAACATGGTGAAACCCCGTCTCTACTAAAAAATACAAAAAACTAGCCGGCCGAGGTGGCGGACGCCTGTAGTCCCAGCTACTCGGGAGGCGGAGGCAGGAGAATGGCGTGAACCCGGGAGGCGGAGCTTGCAGTGAGCTGAGATCCGGCCACTGCACTCCAGCCTGGGTGACAGCACGAGACTCCGTCTCAAAAAAAAAAAAAAAAAAAAAGAAACACATTACTGAGCACTGATGTATGGATTTAACTCAAGCATTATGACTTAAAAAGGCTATTTGCCTAACCTTTATATAACTTACTCTGATAGGAAGTACGGATCCGTTTCGTTAAATCAGGATAAAAGTTAGACAGGCCACGCATGCAAAAGTTGTCTTTGGAACATGCCAGAACACCAGCATCAGCAGCAGGCAGAAGAAAGAGAAAAAAAGTCTAAAGTGAAAGGAAGTGATATCATACCAGAATCTAGAACAGCCAAGATGAAGAAATTGCAGCAAGATTAGGTAATTAAATTAGAGAGGAGATATTAATAAAATAAATCAATTATAAAGTAAGAGGTGATAGATGAATGATGAGAATGTGGTAATAATTTTAATCTTTATTTAAATATTTAATATAAAAATATTTATAAATATTTATATCTTATTTAAATGTCTTATAAAAGTAGATGGCATATTTTCCTTACATGTTTTTACAAAATACAATTATTTGGCTTGTAACTAATATGTATAAATTATTTCACTAATATAAAAATGATTGTCTTTAATCCTTCCACAATTAAAAAGAAAGCTAAAGATTTCAGTCTTTAATATTTCATTGTTATAATATAAAGTGAGTTCTGATTTTGTTATCTTGTACACTAAACACAAACTGAGTTTATAACTTCACAGATTTTCCTGATTTTAAAGTCATCAATGTTCTAAGCTCTAGTAGTAACTGTTAAGGTTCAAGCAGTTTAATTTAAATTAAATAACAATTGCATTACCTTTGTCAAAATATATACTTTTTTTGCCCCACTGTGTATATCCAGCAAGTGATTTAGATGTTATCATAGGATTCACAGCTTTTCTGATTATATTGGTGCTTTTAGCATTGCAAACTGAACACCTGAAACATGGTTATTGTGACTGAGGAACTAAAGTTTTAATTATAAATAGCCTACTGCCCCCAACACCTTTCTACCCTAAAGTCCATCAACTTCAAACTTGTCTTTCCCAATCATGAGGAAACCTTATGTTATGTGAATGTACAATTGCTTTTTATTTTGTCTTCCTTTCAAAATCTGGTAGTGATAGAGGCAAAATCTCTAGAATTTGAAATTTCTAGCTCTCCTAAAATATTGCTAAAATTTGAGATTCCTCACTAAAAACCCTTGGTTTCTGAAAGAGAAATTTTGCGCCCCTCAAAAAGGTCTAAACTGGTAATTTGGAAATGATTGAGTTTTGCAAAAGAAAGGATAACAAGAAGAGTTTCAGTATAACAATTTTCATTAGTCCAAAAAGGAAATTCATTTATTATCACATTTGGATGTTAAATTTGACATGCCTGCTATTTGGAAAATAACACCTACCATCATATACCCTTTTTATTTTTTATTATAAAATATTTTCCTATGGTTATATTTAGTAATGTAATCAATATTCAATAGATTATTTTAAATAATATATGTAGAAATTTTATTTTACTTATTTAAAAAAATTTAAAAGTTATTATTATTATTATTGTTATTATTAGAGATGGGGTCACACTGTGTTACCTAGACTGGTCTTGAATTCCTGGCCTCAAGAAATCCTCTCACCTCAGCCTTCCAAAGTACTGGAATTACAGGCATGAGCCACCATATCTGGCCCAAAGTAGAAGATTTTAAAGGATTGTCTAAAATAACACTTAATATTATAGAAGCATTTTCATCTCAACCTTTTGGCCTAATTTTTTTTTTTTTACCAACCGGACTGTCAACGGACAGAAAATATGCAAAACTTTGGCAGTGTTTCCAAAGCCAACTATTTGGATATATACTAAAATTTCAGTAAAACTTTGGATAATTGGCATATCAAAGTTTGGCATTAAATCCTAATTAACCTTAAGTTTATTTTCTTTTACAGTTAAATACATCAATTTGTTGATCCTGCCAAAAAAAAATGCCATCTGTCATAGTACTTTAAAAATTTTAATGAAAAATGTTTACTGAATCGTGAAAATACCTCCAGGAAGGTCATCATCCAACAAGGAAAGGTGTCAGCTACACTATGGAATTAATTAAAAAAATTAAAAGTAGTGAATGACCTAAAACTATCTTTTTAAAGGGGCTAGATATTTTAGAAGTCAACCTGTTTAACACAACCATTGCAAGCAGTTTTTTCAACTACAGAGCCCTAATTTTCATAGCATTTTTACATTTAATAGCTTCTTATTTTCTGTATTTTTAGGAATTAAACCTAAGAAACCAATTTATTTTGCTTACGTGATTTTGTAAATTATGTTGATTTTATTTTGCCATGCATTAGAATAGTATCACAGAAGAAAGACAAGAAATCTAAAAGTAAGAACATAGATGAACAAATCAAGTTCATAACTCATCTTGTTTTATCTCCTACCTGCAATGAACTGTTTGTTTTTTCGAGGAGACCGTGGTTGTCTCTGGTATAAGTCACTTGATCTATATAGGTCAATGGTCCCCATGCTTAACAGTACTGTCTTCTGTATAAAATCCACCACAGCCAACCCATTGCAGTTCCCAAATGCAACTCTAAGAGAGAGAGAAAAAAAAATGCAACTAGAATGTATCACAACAAGCATGATTATTTTTATCTTCAAATCGATCATAGGATTATTGAAAAGTAATGTCTTAGGGTTGGGGAAGTTGGGCAGTGATTTGTGTAAAGTCAAGAAGGATGCCTTGCCTTTCTGACGGATAAACTGCCTTCATATAATAGGCATACAATTTACTCCAAAAAAAGGATGATTGGCAATTATATTTTGCCAGCAGTTCTATCATGTAAGTCATGATTACCCAATCCGCTCTTTAACTAGACCTTATGTTTTCACAGAAGAATCACACAAAACCTTTTTGCTATGCAAGGGGGAGAGGTCAAGAAATGTCACTAGCTAAAGATGCTTACATATGTAATTAGATGCCTTTTTCAAATAAAATTATAATTACTAGACTCCGAATTAATTATCTTTTGAAAGAGAGAAAAATAAAAATTAACTTCATATATCAAAGGCATTGACGAAATGAGGAGATATAAAAAGTTAAATTTTCTTACTTTTGTGCTCTTTATTTTGTGCCCCTTTCAAAAGATAAAGACCATTTGATTAATTACTTAACTAAATCTCCTGAGAAATTTAAAAAAGACAGCTCTTCTAAGTAGGCATTTTGATTGTCTTAACCATTAGGCATACATTAACTCTCATTTTTCTCCATTTACAATATGTCCTCTAGCTTAACAATTCTGTCTGTATTTTTGCTTTGTAAATTAAATAAACACTAGTTATATGAATGTTGTTTTGCTTGTTTTATATACATTCCATGTTGTATTATTATTTAGATTGAATCATGTTTACAAACCATCTGCTTATTCTTAAAATGGTTTTTTCCACTACATCACACAAGTTAAAACACAACAAAAACAACACTTCTACCTATACTAGATGTTTTGCTAATTCACATAGAGCTCTACATCTTCCAGTAAGACAAACTTTGGAAAGTTAAAAAAAATATTGTTATACTGGTCAGATCTGGGTTTAATTCTCATCTCTATCACATAGGATACGTGACTTTGAGAAAAAGTAATGAATCTTGCTTGGCCTTAGCTTCTTTATAGTGATAATTACACTTCTATATTTATCTGGTTCACAGAGCTTTTATGAGTACCAAGTCAGAAAATTATTTTTAAAGTATGTTGAAATTTTTCCATGCAAAAAGAATTGATCTTAATATTATAAGTAAATGCAATATTATACATGTTACCAGTTATAACAAGTTAGTATCTTTAAACTTTTTATGTTAAAATATAGCAAATTACTTCTGCTTACAGACATGACAGAGTTTCTAAATGCAATAATGACTGAAAAAATGTAGGCAACTAGGATGCATGACCTTCTATATACCATAAATAATTATTTTTGTATTGGAATTAAAAATAAAAATACTGAGAAGTTATAGCTTAGGGCTGGAGAAATCAGGCAGTAGTTGTCAGAAAGTCGGAAAAGAGACTAGATTTAACCTCCTATTTTAAATTACTAGAAAATTGGACAAAAACATATTAAACAACAGTTTTCACATATTGGTCAACAGGCAACATAGAAGAAGATGAGAGAAGGATAGCAACCAAGGTAATACAATTCACAAATGTTCTGTGTTAGTGACTGAAGATAGTTCCCAGGCTTGGGTACAGGAAACTAGAACTCATAGAGAGGTTGATGGTCTCATCTAGTTGAGGAGGTCGAGATGAGAGACTGAGGCTGCAAAAATAGCTAGAACTAATAAGGCAAAATAAACTGCACAGGGACAGAATACCAGAGATTTGCAGACAGATATCCTTGAGACTTTGGCTGTGTACTAATCTGTGCATCCATGTGTAGAAGCTACTCAGGGCCTATAAAAGAGCTACCAAAAAGATAAGGCAGAACAATTCCCAGAGCTCACAAAAGGCTAAGAATATTTTATGTTACTACCAACGAAACTGCAGAGATCTAATACATGGAACATCAGATCTAGGAGCGTCACTTCAGTAGTGAGACAAATTAGCTACAGATTCCAAGTAACTTAATTTCGTTCCAGGAAAAAACTGAACACTACTGAAAAAAGGCAAAAATACCACCAAAAATGTAAAATTCACAATATCCAGTATATAAAAAGTAGCAGGCATATAAAGAATCAGGAAAATATGATAACCAGAGGAAAAAATAACTCAATAGAAACATATCCAGAAATGAAAGAGATGATAAAACTAGCAGATGAAAAATATTGAACGTGCCTTTAAAAGAATATTACAGATAATCAAGAAGGTTGAGGAAAACATGAATGTGACCAAGGAAGGAATGGAAGACATAAAAAAGCCTCAGAGAGATAAATGTATATGAAATTTAAACATTATCCACACATTAGACATTACACTAGAAAAGAATAGAGAATGCTATCCTCTGAATGTTTGTGTTTTCCCAAAATTAATATGTTAAAACTTAACCCCCAAGGTGATTGTATTAAGAGGTGGGAACTTTGGAAGGTGACTAAGTCATGAAAATGGAGCTCTCATGGATAAAATTAGGGCCCTTATGAAAGAGGCCCTAGAGAGCTGCCTCACCCCTTCCATTATGTGATGATGAATTTAGAAGGTACTATCTATAAGGAACAGCTTCTCAGCAGACATCAGATCTACTGGTGCCTTGATATTAGACTTCTCAGCCTTCAGAACTGTGAGAAATAAATTTCTGTTGTTTATAAGCTACCCAATTTATAGTATTTTTGTTTACAACATCCCAGACTAAGTGAACCTGAAGAAATAATAGAAATTAGCTAAAATGAAATGAGATTTTTAAAACTTTAAAAAACAAAACTCCATAATTAGAGTTTCATAAAAGAAGAAGAACAGAAAACATATTTGAAAAAATGATAGCCAATTTAGATAAATGATAGACAAAATTTGAAGACAGTAATAAGCCTGCAGATAATAGAAACTTAAAGATCCCAAGCAGAATAAGAATGAAGAAAAATAAAAAGGCATCATAATCATATTGCTGAAGACAACTAATAATGAAAAGAAAATGTTAAAAGCTGGCAGATAAAAAAGCATATTTCTTACATGTAAAAATTAAAATGATGAAATCATTTTAAAAAATTAAATGAAATTATACAAACCAAAAGATAATGGAGTGGCATCTTTACAGTAAGAAATAAAAATAATGTCAACCTAAAATTGTATACCCAGCAAATATATCTTTCAAGTGGTGGAAAAAGAATTTTTGCAAAAAAACAAAAGCTGAAGGAATTCATCACTCACATAAATGGATTACAAAAATAATAAGGGAAGTCTTAGAAAAAAATGATTCCAGATGGAAATATGGATCTCCACTATATAATGAAGAGCAACAAAAATGTTAAATATGAAAAGTAATATTAAAGACTTTTCTCATTTCTTTAAAGGATAATTGACTAAAGCAAAATCAATAACAATGTATTGTGGGGTTTATAACACATGGAAGTAAATTTATGACAATAATGCAAAAAACAGGAGGATAAATAGAAGTATGCTGTTGTAAAGTTATTAAAAATATGAAAAGTGGTATCACTCCATTTATTTAACTACTTATTTGATAATTCAAAGATACATATTATAAGCCTGAGAGCAAACAAAAAAAACTAGAAGTATACCTAATAAATCAATAATGAAAATAAAATGGAATCATTAAAAGACATGCAATCTTTCCCTGAGAAGAAGGCAGAGAAAAAGAAGCGAAAAAAAAAGGGTGGGGGGCAGGGGGACAAATAGAAAAACAAATTGGAAAATGTTTGGCTTAAACCCAGTCATGTAGATAAGCATATTAATGTAAATGATTGAAATACTCTAATTATGGGCAGAGATTGCCTGAGTGGATAAAAAGTAAGACCCAATTATATGGTGCCTACAACAAATCCACTTTAAATATAAACCAAAATGATGGAAAATATTTACAATGAAAACACTAATTTAAAAAATGCTGAAATGACTATACTAATATAGACAAAGTATATTTCAGAACAAGGAAATTTTGAGAGACATATAGGGAGAATGATTAAGGAATCAGTTTATTAAGAAGATATAGCAATCCTAAATGTGGATTCATCTTATGATAAAGCTTTGAAATTCATGAAGGAAAACCAATAGAACTGAAAGGGAAAATAGACAAATCCACAATTAAGGTGGAGTATACAAACATTCCTCTTTTAATAACTGACAGAATAATCAGAGAAAACAAATCAGTAAGGATACAGAAGTTATGAGCAACACTTTGAACCTCCTTCACAGAACTAAAATTTATGGAACTCTTGAATCAACATTCATAGTGGCATTGCAATTATGAAATACATAGGAATAAATTTAACAGCAAATGTGGAAAATCTGTACATTAAAAATTATAATTATTGTTGAGAGAAATTAAAGAAGACTTAAATAAATTGAAAGATGTACCTTGCTTAATGGTTAGTAAAGTCCCCAAATTGATCTACAAATTCACAGCAATTTCAAACAAAATCCCAGCAGACTTCTTTTTTACTTGAGAAACTTAAAACATGATTGTAAAAAATATAGAAAAATATAATAGACCTAGAACAGCCCAAATTGTTCTGAAAAATAAGGAAGTTTTAGGATACAGACTATATAATCTTAAGACTTAATTAAAAGTATTGGAATCAAGACAGGTTGGTATTGGTGACCTAGATATCTAGACAGACCTAGATATTGGTGGAACAGATGAGTACCTGGGAATAAACTCACACATACATGGTCAAATAATAATTGACAAAAGTGCTAAGAAACATATATAGTCTTCAACAAATGATGATGAAGCCATTGTGTATTCATAAGTAAATAATTGACTGCTCTCTTACCTTGGGTTATAAGTCAGGGCTTTTACCTACTTTCACTGGGGCTTCAGACTACTGCTCTGCATCCTGCTCCTACTGTGACCTGACAGGCCTCTGATGCACCCTGTTGTCACTGGACCCATGTTACTGCTATGTTCCATGCTATTACTATGTCTCATCAC